CAGATATATGGGCCCTGGGCCTGGCTCCCTCCTTGCTGTTGGCTCCACGTGGCCTCTGCAGGGGGCGGTGCTTTCAACACATTAGTCTGTCCAGACTTTATAATATTCAATGATATATTGGTCGTGGGCCTGGATCCCTCCTGGCGCTTGGCTCCACGTGGCCTCTGCAGCGGGCGATGCTATTTCAACACATTCAAAATAGTCTGTCCAGACTTTATAATGTCAATGACACGGCTCATGGGCCTGGATCCCTCCTTGCTCTTGGCTCCACGTGGCCTCTGCAGGGGGCGATGCTATATTTCAACACATTGAAAAGTCTGTCCAGACTTTATAATATTCAATGGGTCGTGGGCCTGGATCCCTCCTTGCTCTTGGCTCCACATGGCCTCTGCAGGGGGCGATGCTATTTCAACACATCAAAAAGTCTGTCCAGACTTTATAATATTCAATGATATATGGGTCGTGGGCCTGGCTCGCTCCTGGCTCTTGGCTCCACATGGCCTCTGCAGCGGGCGATGCTATTTCAACACATTAAAAATAGTCTGTCCAGACTTTAAAATTGTCAATGACACGAGTCCTGGGCCTGGTCCTCTCGAGGGGATTCTTGGCTCCACATGGCCTGTGCGTGGGGCGATGCTTTCAACACATTCACAAAAGTCCGTCCGGACTTTATTTTCCGATCCTGGTCCTGGGTCTCTTGGGTCTGGCTCTGGTCCCAGGTCCAATCCTCTGCAGGGGCCGATGCATTCGGATCCATAAACATGTCTATCCAGACATTTAAAACAAATGCAAACTCCAAACTATTCTCCTAACAAGTAACCCCGGCAATGGTCTTTGTCCTGCTTCTGCCAGTCCCACTCGTTCTGGTAGCCAGCACCCCATGCTGACCACTCCTGGCAAAATTTTTCAGCATTCATTCTCAGACAATAACACTCTGCTTCAATGGCCTCTCGACTCCAAGACCACTGACTTGCATCGTCCTGCAACAGAGGCCGAAACGAATCAAATCATGCATTTATAAGCTTGTCTGTCCAGACATTTCGAAGTCCGAAACCCAATCATACCATGCATTTATAAGCTTGTCTGTCCAGACATTTCAAAGTCCGAAACCCAAGGGCCAGCCTGCCAGTCTCGCTGGTCCACGTCCATGTTCCCTCCTCCTTTTCCTTTTCCATCTCCTGTGTAGTGGGTTTAGGGGTTTGAAATTGAGTTCTTTAGGGTTCGAGGTTTTATTGGGTTTTAGGGTTCACAGGGTTGGGTTGAGGGTTTAGGGTTTGAGGTCTGTCCCGGGTCCTTCAGACCTCTCCTGCTCATCTTTTTTCTCGAGTCCATTGACTATCTCCTCCATCATCTGCTCGTAGGTCTTGAACGGGCTCTCAACGAAAACACGTCGAAGGTAGCTTCTGTGTGCTTCCCCGCTTCCTCTTGGTACCTGGCTCTTGTCCTCCGCCTCCTCGACGACCAAGTCCATCCAGGCACTGAGCGGGATGTCGTACGACTTGCGGCTCCAGATGGCTCGCATATTGTCTCGCCACAACCTCGCCATCTTGCCGCCCGTCATGTCCTCGCCCAGAAAGCAGAAACTTACTTCATGTGTCTGTCCAGACATTATACTAAACACATGCAGCCGAAATGCTTCAGCATGTCTGTCCAGACATTACTCAAGTATTTTGCCGCCCGACATGTCCTCGCCCAGGCTGTCGAAGCCTTTCCCGCCCAGACTCGCTGGCACATCTCGGCCTCTGCGGTCGTAGGCTCCAGTGCCGAGGTCGGCCATCTTTCTACTTACTCTGTTCCTGGTCCTGCCTCCATATGCTTGCATGTGTTTCCTGGCAGTCTCCTGCTACACTTGGCGCTCTGTTGTCTGCCACGATATCTTGAGCAATATGTAACAGAAAAACACAGATATTCGCAAGCTCAAAAGCAGAAACTTGCTTCATGTGTCTGTCCAGACATTATACTAAACACATGCAGCCGAAATGCTTCAGCATGTCTGTCCAGACATTGCTCAAGTTTATGTCTGTCCAGACATTACACTAAACACATGCAGCCGAAATGCTTCAGCATGTCTGTCCAGACATTACTCAATTATATGTCTTTCCAGACATTACACTAAACACATGCAGCCGAAATGCTTCAGCATGTCTGTCCAGACATTATCACCAGAAAGCTCTGCAGTCATGTCTGTCCAGACATTAGTCAAGTATATGTCTGTCCAGACAATACACTAAACACATGCAGCCGAAATGCTTCAGCATGTCTGTCCAGACATTATCACCAGAAAGCTCAAGCATGTCTGTCCAGACATTACCAAACTTACAAGGCAGCAAGCTCCCCCCCAACACTTCAAACATCTGTTCTTTTTTCTACCTCAAGACTGCATTCGTTGATCACGGATCCATATGTCCATATATGCCATCGTTCATAATTCAGGACATCTGTGCCTTCATCTCCAGCACACGATCGAGAGACATTCCCATCTCCAGGTACTCTTTCAGCTTCAGGGCAGTACTCCGGTTCTTCTTGGGCGTGTACTTCGAAATCTGCAAGAGCTGCTTGCCGTTCTGGATGCGGATTGCAACTCGTCCGCAGTTGTACGGCATCAGCACGAGCTTCACCTTCGTGAGGTCGACGGTGTCTGCAGGAGCACTTGCCATTGCCTTCGTCGTCGTCGGCTTTTTCATCACTTTCTTCTTCTTCTTCTCGTCGTCCTGCTCCTTCTTCTTCGTCTTCAGCTCAACCTTCGTCTCCTTCATCTGCTCATTCATTGTCCTCTTGCGACATGGTACAGGGACAGCTTCTGCAGCTTCCTTTCGAAGGTCGCCCTGACTTTCAGCCTCTGAGCACGACGGGGTAGCAGGAATCTCCAAGTCCATCAGGTCCACTGTTGCCAAACTGTGCACGTCGTCGTCGGACTCCGTGGTCTTGTCCTTCTTCTTGTTCTTGTCCTTGTCCTTCTTGGTGGTCTTCTCGTCGGTCTTGTCCTTCTTCTTCTTGTCCTTGTCCTGCTTGGTGATCTTCTCGTCGGTCTTGTCCTTGCTCTTTTTCTTGTCCTTGCCCTTGTCCTTGGTGGTCTTTTTCTTGACCTTGTCCGTCTTCTTCTTCTCCTTCTTGTCGTCCTTGGCCAGAGTCTTCTTCTTCTGCTTCTTCTTCGTCCTCTCTTCACTCTCACTGCTGGACTCCGAGCTGTCATCGTCGTCACACTCCAGCAGCAACTTTCGCAGTGCAGCCAGCTTGTCTGTCTGCCACGTGCTCAGGCTGCTGCAGCACTCTCTGAACTTCTGATCGATTCGGAGTCTTCGGGTGTGTGCTGCTACCGTCATGAGGGCATTCGCATACTTCTGGTGCAGGATTCCTTGTTCGGTGACTGGCACACTTTCTCGTAGACTGGCAAAGGTCTTCACCAAAGTCCCAAACACTGTCTTCAGGTCCTGATACTTAAAGATCAGGGCCGGCTGCACTTCCATCACCTTGGTGATCAAGGAGTTCAGGGAACACAAGGAGGCCCCAGAGATCGCCTGACTCTTGCTCATGTTCATGTACTCGTAGAAGTTCAGGCCTCCCTCCAGCTTAATCGCCTCCGACAGCACATCCTGTAGATGCACCAAGTCTGTATCTGGCACCTTTCGTCGGTGAGGACCTCCCTTACCCATGGCTCGGGAGCTGGCTCTAGGCTCGCTGCCTGGCCCTATGTTCCTAAAACTGATCTCCAAGCATCATATGCACACCAACTGTTGCAAAATCGTCTTCCATGTCTGTCCAGACATTGACAAGTCCATGCTCCACTGCAACAAGAACATTGTCTTCTCACCTTTCCTCCATGCTCTTTTGGCAGACACTCAGATTCCAAAACTGCACCTATAGCTACAGCTCGGCGACTCCCTGTATCTACATCAGTTCATGTTCTCGATCTGTTCAAGCTCCTCGTCCAAAGCCCGAATCCGGTCGTCGATGTCGTCGAGGTGTCCCAAGATCAAAGTCACAGCATCGTCTGGATTCTCTGGCTCATGGGACTCGACGATCAGGGAGTTCGCCAGGTTCGTGGCCCTCACAGCCATGCGCGAGAGAGTTTCGATCATCGCCAACACATGTGCTGGAAACTGATCCATTTTCTTCCTCTTCTTCTCGGCGTGCTCGGGCGTGCTGTCTGCAGCTTCTCGAGTCCTCTTCGGAGGTGTTTCCATGGCTCGATCGAGGTGCTAGATAAAAAAAAAAAAAAACTTCGGTTCGGTATATACATCATGACTTGCACTTGCTGCCTGTCCAGGCATTCATAAGATTACTATTATAAAACAACATGACAAATAATGTCTGTCCAGACATTATATATTATATTACACCATATATATATATATATATATATGTATATGTATATATATACATATATATATATATATGTATATATATATATATGTGTGTGTATATATATATGCATCTATAAATATATGTGTATATATATATATATATACATATATATATATATATATATACACATCTATATACATGTATATGTATATATATATATATATATATACAGAGTAGAAAAAATGAACGATATATGGGGAAAACAATATACACTTTGGTCACTTGAAATTCGATCGAGGAATCGAGCGAAGAATCGAGCGGTGGAGTTGTAAATTCAATCGAGGAATCGAGCGAAGTTTCATGTAAATTCAATCGAGGAATCGAGCGAACCACCCAGTTGTTCGACTGATTTGCATAGCTTAAAAAGGTTTTTCGAGCGTAGATAGAAAATACAATATTTTCGAGCGTTCGATCGATAATTATCAATCGAAGAGCCTTTGGGTTAGGGGGCTCCATGGCAAGGGGGTTATTGGCATCCGCCTTTCCGCGTAGAAAGGCTGTCTTGATGTCGAATGAACTAAGTAGAAATTTTGAAGATGCTATGGTTTGGAGAACCAGTGCTCTGCCCTCTCGAGACAGCGTGGGGGCATCACGATGAACATCAACTAGCTTTGGATCCTGAAACCCTAGAACCACTAAGCGTGCTTTGGCGCGTTGATGCACCTCTCCGACTTCTGGGGCCTTCCACGTGAGAATCCAACGGCTCTTCAAGATTTGCTCAGGATTGAGTTTCTGTCTGAGTATGGGCTTAATGGCTGATGTTTGTAGCCAGCATTGGATCTCTTTGGACTTGGCGACCTCGAACAACTCACGCTCAGCAGCTGACAAGTCTTTGACAAAGACTTCGGCTCGAGCTCGCTTGCTTAAGGAGGCCAATGCAACCATTTGCTCAGGAGACTTTTCTTGGGCCCACCGTTTGACTGCTTTAGCATTCACTGGGATCTCAAGGCAGAAAGCTTGGTGCTCGGCACAATCCAGAGGCGTTTCAACGTAGGGGAGATTATCTTCAGCGAGCGGCGGACCCGAAGACTGGTCACCGGCCTGCAAAGTCAAGAAACTCATCAGCTCATCTGCTTCTCCGGGCTCGGCACTTAAAGGAGTACTGGCGAGAAGAAGATCCTCAACTACTAAACCTTCATCGGACCCGGGCACTGGGATATTGGTTGCATTCGGGATTTCAGCCTCGGACGCAGATGGCTCAAAGGCTTCCGGGGAAGTCGGAGCTGGCACAGGCGAAGGGGCAGCAGGCACAACTGAACCAGTTGTTCCGCGCTCAACCTCACTCTGTTCCTGAGCGTCATCCACACCTTGTGACACTTGGGGAGTCAGCTCATGCTCAGGTTGCTCAATCGGATCTTCGGTAGGCGTGGGTGCATTGGCACGAGTGGCTTGAGGAGCTCCCACTTCTGGAATGGCAGAGGGTGCAGTTGACTGAGAGCTTTCAGCGCTCGGGGCGTTGGAAACTGTTAAGTCAACAAAGGAACTCGAACCCCCAGTATTCTTATGTAATCCCTCATGGTCCGATGGGGCTAAGCTCTGCCATTCCCGCAGGCTAGCGGGCCTCAAGTTCTCTGGCGCACAGCGGAGCACAGTTGTCCCGTGGGAAACCCAAACTATGGATAAACCCTCTTGACAAATAACCTTAGCGGGACCATGCCAACGGCCGGCTGCCAACCTATTCGGGGATGATTTGCGGAGCCAGTACAGTACCCAATCTCCCGGTCGATATGGGCCTCGAACAGGGTTACTCCTACGAAGTATGGCTCGTCGTATGGCTTGGTTGTTGTCGGCTTCCCAAAAGACTCGGCGGGCTTGGCAACGGAGTTCTAAGCGCTGACGGTGCTGCTCGGCTTCAAGATCTAGGCCTTCTGTGATCGCATGGGAAGACAAATCCTCATCAGATGTTAAGCTTCCTGGCACCCGGACAGACTTACCTAAGACGATCTGTTCTGGGGAGTAACCTTGATGACGCACTAAGGCATTCTTAGCTTGGAAAACCTGGAGAAGTGCTTGATCAAAGGTATCGTCATTTATGATGGGAGCTTGGGTGTCCATTCGGGCCAACATATCCTTAACTATGTCCCCATGTCTCTCAACTCGGCCGCGTTGCCAAGCTGCCGCACTGACAAAGACTCGTGCACTCATACCTTGAAAGACACTCAACATTTCTTCAGAGCGAAATTCCCCAGCCGGGTCCAGATAAATTTTGCGGGGTTGTCCGGCCCAGGACGTCCAGAATTCCGAGACAGTCTTAATGGCCTGAGAGCCATGTCGCGTGTTGATTCGCCGTCCTAGATGAAAACAGCTAGCCTCGTCCAACACATGGATCACATTGACACTATACCCGGAACGACTTTTGAACTGGAACCCGTCTATTCCCACTAACTCGTTAAACTCCTTGGGCTCGGGAAGCTTGCTGGGGCGTTGATGTCGGGGCTCGGTGGATTCAAGGCACGCATCGCATTGGTATTCCAGTGCCGCTTCAATCAAGGATGGACTCTCCTTCGCTGCCTTCAAGTGTTGGGATAGGGTTTGAGGACTAGGGTGTCCGAGATTGTTGTGGATTCGAATCAAGCGGCTCTTATCCTCTGGGGCGAGGCTCCTAAAGGCAGGTCCATGCAGTGGCACCGGAGGAGGTGCCCATCCTTCGATATCTGGCTTCGGATCACCTTCGGAACTCGGCTTTTCTCCGGACGAAATCGAAGCTTCCGGACGAGACCTCATATCTCGGGTATGACCTAGCACAGTGATGGAAACTTCGACAACTGGCACTCGAAGCTTCTTCCGCTCGGCAGACATCGTGGTGCGATCTTCGTTGCCCAAGCAAAAGTACTTCCTCGTTCCATCCGCAGCAACACGAGACCCCAGACTTATTCTCCAGGGCGCTACCGTAGGAGGCAAAGCACCTAGAGGACTCTGAAGGTTGCGGCTTCCCTTTCCAACAAATACTTGCTGTATGCTAAACTGGGGAAGCCCGGCTTGCAAAGCGGGGATCAGATCATGTTGTGGGGAGACAAGCGCTGCAGCGGGACGGTGTCCACAGGAAGAAGCAACCTCAAAAATGGATTGCCACACATCCGCAGGCAACTCAGACGGAGCATGCACATCAGGATTCAGCACCGGATCAAGCTTTCGGACAGCGGTACTCCGGTCATCATTTGCTTCCGCTGCAGGGCGTTTATGGGAGCCAAGGATATTGCTGGGCGCGGGAATGCCCGTGGATGTCTTAAACCTCTTGCGGGTGAACTGGGGAACATCCTCAGCAGCACAAGCCTTCTCAGCTGCTTGCTTCAACAGCTGACGGGCAACATAATGCGCAAACCCAGAGCAGTATGTGCCCGCAAACTTTGCCACAGTCTGACCTTGGAGCTCGCGCAAACGGCCGGCTATCGCCTGATGAACATGTCTACCTTGACACTGCTTGTCTACCAGTTGTTGAATAAGGTCATCGGAGTTGCTAAGAATCACAGTGGTCTTTTTGATTGGCTTCTGACTGACAGGAGTTTGGAGTCCAAACACACACATGTCGATCGTTACACGGCGGGTCTGTTGCTGAATGGCTTCAAGCTCAGGTGATCCAAGTAGTTGAACACCGGAAGGTAATTCTAAGTGAAAACCCCGATTGTGTTGATGCTGCCACTGACAAATCTTTGTGCAAAGCTTCCAGTGAACCTGCTGCTGTTCCCTTTGTTGGTGAACATGGGAACGATATCTGGGACATCGGGCAGCATTCAAGTTTGTCCAGGACCCCCAGTAGCGACAGTCCGGCGAACACCAAACATGCTGAGGCTGCGTCTTCTGAATCAAATCCCAGAGAGCACGCTGGCCTGATGCAGTGGTTAGATCTCCATCCTTTGCTGTGAAGCGCTGCGCTTTTCCCCCCAAGCTTCTAACCCAGGTTGTCAATCGACTATCCTCACTAGCATATATCTCTAAAACATCTAACCTAGGCCCTGTCGCTTGACCATAGGTAAGCAAGGAGTCTTGGAACGTGCTCCAGGAAATGTCTTCGGCAACACTGAAAGCACTCTTACTGGCTGCATCGACGCTGGAAGCCAGGTTTGCCAAGGAGGACTTGCTCAGCATATGCTGGGATGCATCCAGCTCTTGTCGAAGGGCTGACTCAGGACAGACCCTCTGGGCGTTGGCGATGCTACGGGAAGCTACTTTAGGGAATGCTGGATGATTGCAAGTCGGCAAGGCGAACCCTTGTCGAAGCAGCCAAGCACGATCGGAAGCCTCCAGCTTCCAGACAGGCTTCACAGCGTAGCCGATTGCAACAGATCGATTTCCCTCCCATGGCATGGTGGCATGCCATTTGTGAGGATTCACGTAAACTGCGGATTTTAAGGACTGAAGGGAACCATCAATCTCTTGCCCCCGACACATCAGGGTCTTGCTCTGCTGATTTGCCGCAGGCGGCTGAGCGATCCAGATCTCACCACCAGCACGTGGATACTCAAAAGGAATGACTATGTTCGGGATCGCCAGTGAATTGAAGCTATCTCGGTGTGGGGTCGATCGGGTGTTTCGGGATATGGTGATGGATGTTACTTGCTGATGGGGGTCCGTCAACTTGATCATGCGCACCAGAACTTGGGTCAACCAGGGAAAGTCACGCGAGACTCTGGTGATGCCTACTTTGCCCCCATGAACAAACATCCCGAACACCACATAAGCAGGAGTTTTATTGTCTTCAGTTTCTAAGAGCTCAAGTCCAGTTCGTGTTCCCGCGCTATGTGTCTTAAGCTTGTCCCAGGGGATTGATCGAAGGAACTTCTTAAGCTCGGGTAGGGGAGCTTGTTGGTCTAGGAGTTGTTTTGCAGGCTCTTCGATGACCTGTGGGTCAAACGCCTGGAACGCACACGCTTCCTTCAGTTCATGCTGGCAGGTGGCTATCTCGCTCAGGAGTTGCGAGCAACCGCAGACAGATCCTGAACAGCCATCAGCACTTGCTGCAAAACACTTTCCATGTGGGTCACGCGAGTGGCCAAAGACGTGACCTGGTGATCGAGAGGTGGATCGGACGAATCTTGATTCACCAAGTCCCAGGCTTCGGGCACGGCTTCGGAGGATTGGGCCGGCGGGCGGCTGATGCTCTTGGCTGCAGCTTTGGGCCGACCTCGAGTGGCCGAAGGTTCGGTCTCGAGCACAGCTTCCATGGTGTCCAGAAGGGCACTTTCCACGGCTTCGGCTTGATCCACGTAGCGCTCCAGATAGGCTATGAAAGCCTGGTGGCAACGCTTCTCGCTTTGGCCCATATGCTCGATGATCCACTTGCACCATCCCTTTTCGTTCTCGGCTACGTCCACGTAGGACCGTCCATGCATGGCTTTGCCGAAGTCGATTGTGAACCGACCCAGCTCTTCCAAAGGCATGGTGCGAATCTCGTCCATGGTGAACCGCAGCTGCGGCTCGTTCAAACGGGCGAAGCGAACGGCCAAAGCACGGTTGCCCTGCGACATGTTGAGAAGGGAGCAACACGGGATCACAGGCTGAAGAAAGCGCAGGCTTGGGCTCAGTCTTGGCGGCAACTGCTTTCATCGGTGAGTGGTTACACGTCACAGTCGGCTTCGGCTCAGACGTGGGTACATTATCAACCTTTATGGTTTTACCAATCTTCGTAAAACCCGAATTCCTAAATCCTGATGTTCTAAAGGACTTCTTACTTCCAGCTGTACACGGATGTGAGTTCTGTCCCAGATCAGGACTCTCGGACGCATGCAGGAGAGGGTCTGCGCTGTTTGCAAGTGCAGCATCATCTTCACACAATGCCTGATTGGCTTGCTCTCGGTCACTTTCAACGCACAGACGGGCAAGATCGATCATGTAGAGCCCTGTAGGCCCAGTGTGCAGGCTCAAACACTTGCTGAGGCGATGCAGGTGGCACTGATCCGTGCGGGTATCGATGACAGCTTGAAGTTGTTTCAGGGCACGTTTGCTGAACAACAAGGGGGTACCACCTGGCACGACCTCAATCCCTAGCCACAAAATCTGTCCTTGAGCAGCTCGGAAAGGAAGCAAGATACGCTGTTGGCTACGCAAGGTTTGATTGTTACCGAACCTGAATTGCACTTCGCTCTTCGTAGTTCTAACCTTCTGCCGAACCTGCTCTTCCAGTTGGCTCAAGAAGCCGAGCACAAGCTGCTTGCCCATGACACACCGACTGGCCCCCGTATCCAAAATGGCTTCTATGGGACCGTGGCTGATCAGCGCCGTTGCGGCACTGGGCACAACCTCAAAAGAACACTTTCGGCAGCCTACGAAGGGTTCCTTGGCACGGCGATCAGTCGAGGAGGTTTCCCCATTGCTTGGCAGCCTGCTTGGGAGGATGTTACGATTCTTTTGAAAGGCTCGAAAGTTCTTCACAACCTGATTAAGTCTTTCCTGAATAACCCCTTTATTCCAACCACAGGAAGCAAAGTGAGCCTCTTCCATCGTCAGCGCTCCCTCGGGGAGGCTAGTGCAGACCTCAGCAATCTGAACCTCGGCTTCATCCAGGGTGGCAAAATTGGATTCATCGACCTCGGCAACCGTAGTAGTGGCCATCTCGCTCTTTCCGGCGTGACCGCTTCCCTTGCCCAGCTTGGGACATTCTGCTTTCCAATGTCCGCGTTCGCCGCACAGTCTACAGTTGCTTCGGCTGATGCGTGCGAGCAGTTGCTCGCGGGCATTTTTGCCCTTGCCCTTTCCGCCTTTGGCGGAACGTCCGCCCTTGGATCCCTTCCCGCCTGCTCCAACTGGCCAGAAACCTCTAGCTCGCTTCTTCGCAAGAAGACGATTGCGAGCTTCCAAGTAATTCACCAGTGCATCTTGCAGGTCAGGAGTGTCCTGGAAGAAGCCTTCCAGCTCCTCCTCAAACGCTTGAACCTGTAAGGCATCTTGATCTTCTGCTGCCACAAGCGCCTCGATGTACTCGTTGTCCAAATCGGCTTCGCCCTCATCGGTGAAATGAGCGGCAGCCGCTGGAACTCCTCGATCGGGCTCCTCGTCGATGTTCTCATCCACGTGATTTGCATCGTAGGTCTTCGACTTGCTGTTGCGCTGTCCTTGCAAATCCGTGAAAAATCGGGACCCTAGCAGCCGGATAGCTTGGCTGACTTTGCCATACTCCAAGGTACCGCCCATCTCTACCACAATCCGCTTCCGATCGTCCGAAGACAACTGGGATTGGCGTAGAAGAATGTACGCTCGGATCTCCTTCAAAGTCACACCACCAGCCAGCAGCTCTTCAAAATGAACATCGTGCCTTGCCAGGTAGCTGTCATTGGTCTCGTCTGCCTTCTGGGTCGTACCATAAATCGCTTTCTCGAAGCTGTCGTACTTCTTCTCCAGATCAGTCTTACCCCAGGAGCCACCCAGGGTTGACACTAGGAGCTTTACTCCGGTCTCATCATTGGCCTTCAACTTTTCGGCGTCCAAGGACGCCACTTTCTTGAATGCCGTTCCCTCGCACATCAACGCCGCCCTGGGCGCCAACAAGGAGAGATGCTCCTTCGGCCACATCGCCGCAAGGAACTGGAGCTTCTTGCTGTACTCTGTCACATCCGTAGTCCCCGGTATGAATCTCGGAATGGCCTGCCATGGTAGCTGGAAACTGCTAGAGGACTCCGCCGCCGGAGTCGGAGCCGGTGTGGCAGTCGCAGTAGCCGGTGGCATGCTTTCGCGCCAAGACAAATCCCAGGATCAACAGCTTTTCCGCCAGAGGTGGCGAAGCAGGTAGCTCCGCTACCAGTGTGAACTCAATAAAGTTCACCCTGGTAGCCCAATGGGATGCAGCTCAGAACTTCTCGAAGATAGCCCCGCTATAGGAGATTCTGATGCAGCAAAGAAGAAAGAAGAAATGTATACTGACCCGGTCAGATAAAGATATGCACGCCTGTGCAGTTCAAGGCTCCGGCCTTGTTTTCACCGATCGCTCAAGAGTCCATGCGTCTCCCCGAGACGTAAACCCTGTGCCCTCCCTCTCCGGACCTTGAACCCGGAGTTGCGGAAGAGCGGACATGTCCAACTGAAGGTGAATGGAGCTCGAAGTGCCTTCGCGCTGAAGATTTCACAAGGGTTTAGGGTTTAGGGTAGGGCGTAATGAGGGTTTAGGGTAGGGTTTAGGGTTTAGCGTGGGGTTTGGAGTTTAGGGTAGGGTTTAGGGTTTAGGGTAGGGTTTAGGGCTTAGGGTAGGGTTTGGGGTTTAGGGTAGAGTTTGGGCTTTAGGGTAGGTTTTTGGGTTTAGGGTAGGGTTTGGGGATGAGGGTAGGGTTTGGAGTTTAGGGTAGGGTTTAGGGTAGTAGGGTTCGGGGGTTTAGGGTTTAGGGTCATGTCAGGGACTTTAGGATTCGATGAGCTTCGAATAAGGGCTTTAGGAGCTTAGAATGTGTCTGGTTTTATGTTGAAGGGGGGGGGCTTTTATGTTTTGGCTATGTAAGGACTGAGCCCGCGCAAGTTAGAAAAGGGGTTTATGAGATTGCTTTATGAGGGTTTCGGGCTTGATGTTGAGGCCTTTACATATTAAGTAGAACAGCATGTCGGGCATGTTATAGTTCAACTTGAAAGTCTTGCGATTTGTCGAGACCGCTGTAGTAGCATGCTAGCACGAGGTCTGCGTGCAGGCTTTCTTTGGGTTGTGCACAGTGGCTGTATTCGGGTTGAGGGTTTAGGGTCGGGAGGAGGTCGCTGGAGTCTGCTACCTTAAGGCCCCAAAGTAGTTCCTTTTTCTGGTTCATATTCAGAATCCTATAATGTAATCCCAAAAAGGAACTACTTTGGGGCCTATGGGTACAGTGTTCGCGCGAGACTTTATGACCGTTCTACAAGGCGTTTTGACGTGTACAGGAGCGTGACAGGGGGGCGTGGGTTGAGGGCCCTGCCTTTATAGGATGTTGACATGGCTCTACCGGCGATAACCCACACGTCTAGCGTGGACTGATCACAGGGAGGGTTGTATCGGGCCGCCGGTAAGCTGCGATATGAAGACAAGATAGGAAAGGTGTGGGGGAAGTCTGTGATTTTTTATTGATGTCAAAGTTTATTAACCGCGGATTTCCCCGTCAATTCTTTGTGAAGTTAGATTGCCGTGCAGGTCAAGCAGATCAGCTTGCCAGACGCAGCTTCGTCTGCGGCTCATCCGCTCAGCCAAATGGGATCTGATGTTGTCCTGCCTACTAAGGTGGCACTTTGGGATGCGTTTTACTTGTCCTCATGGTCCTATACGCGGTACCTTGACATGTCTGTTTCCGAGTTGGGGGTGCCACTTTAGGAAAGGTTGAGAGATTCAGGGCAATCATTTGCTAATGTGAAGCACTACGCACCAGTAGCTGATAGCTGCTACCTGATAGCTGAATGGAAAAGACAGTTGTATGTAGGATGTACGTCCGATGAGCCTTATGGTAAAAGGGTCGTGTGAGAAGCAGGGCAGGACCTGACATATTCTTGATGTTGCTTCTGAGCGAGCTCAAATCCTCACATGCCCGGTGACTTGTGGTGCTGACCCTTCCACGGATGTGAAGCTTTCGCATGTGCTTTGTCGAGTCCGCTGCTTTCTTTTTCGAAGGAGCACGCAGTGCTGGCGAGGACGAAATGCAGAATAAAGCTAAGTTGTAGGTGCAAGGACTGGATCTGGGAGAACAGTGCTTGCACGCCAAAGCAGGGCGAGCGAGGGACAGCAAATTTGGTCACGGGCATTGTTGCAAGGAAGCATACGTGTTGTACAGTATTCACCAGGCTGTCCAGCACTAGCGTGATAATGACATACTAAAGGGGATTAAAGACTTACCTATACCATTTTGGGGCTTCCTTACTGATTAGTATAATTATACAAAAATGGGCCCCAGAACCTTGTTCTATTATTATGAAGGCCCCTAAAATAAGACGGTGCAGCCCAGCAAATGCCGAGGGGAGTCGGAGGGAGTCAGTTGGTTTAAGTCTATAGGTCTAGGTCTAGATGCGTGCGAAAGGATGTCTTAGCCAAGAAGGTCTTATGGATTTAAAAATTCTACTGTGCAGCATATCGCAACGCCACATTCCCAGAAACACCCAAAATACTAAGGGCGCTTTGTTCAACTTCCTAGCCCCCGTAATTCCATCATCAACACATGTTAAGACCCGTTTGACCCAAAGCTCCACACTAGAGACCCCTCTATAGGCGCCTTAGTATTTAGAATAGGGTTTTGGGGCCCATAATACTAGAATTATAATAAGGAGCCCCCAAAATAGTATAGGTAATTGTCAACGCCCCTGTATTACAGCCTTCAACTCGTAATCCTACAGCCCTAAGCCTGTCGTGGAGACGGAGGTCTCTGGAAGCAGCGTGACGGCCAGCGAGGTAGGGACAAGCTTATGGTTTAAGACTTCTGAAGGAGCACGACGGAAGATGCTGCTGGATCGAGTTCCAGGGTTAGGGAGCGTGGTTGGGGCTGTAGGGTTTAATTTCGGAATGAAGGTGTGTTGCTGTCCAAGTCTGATTTTGGGGATTCGCTGCTGTATTCCATTTAGGTGATACAGCTGCGCTCCCAAGCCCTCAACCCTAACGACATCTTATGTCCTTTGACCGAGACCCTGTGTAGCTTAAGGCCCTGCGGCTCACGATCCAGGGGTGAGCTACTCAGATGGCTCTAGAGACTCATTCACTACAGTATTCGTTTAATTCGGTAGGTCATAAGTCAGGCCAAAACCGAGATATCCCTGAACAGGGCACTTATAGCATGAAATACAAATGACATGCCAATTGGGTCTGATATACCGTTTAGCAGAACCCCAATCCCTCCACCCCAATACTCTAACCCTAAATCCACAACCCTTGTATAACCGGAGAGACCGCTCACAATTTATTCAATCGCTCATATGAAGTAGGTAACTAAGTTTTCATTCACTTTAAACTATACCTGTCATCCAACTCGTTTTACTCACCATGGGAAATTAAGTATGAAGCCTGCACCTGTGGCCGCAGCCCCAAACGCCTGCAAATGATAGCTTTGGTCTGGAGTTAGAGTTAAGGGCTTAGGGTTGCTTAGGCTTGTCCTGGAGGTCAGTGTGGAGAGTTTTGTAGGTTCAGGAGTTTGGTTTCAATTAGGGCCTCAAGGTCTCAGCTTCTTCCTTACATCAGGAAAACCACTCGAAAAGACCCCCCAAGTGGCTTGGAGTCTTGTTGCGGAGCAGCTTCAGAAGCACATGCGCCCTAAAAGCCCAGTGCCCTCCAACTTAAAACCAGATCAGATCGTGAGCATGGACCAGGACCCCCCCCCCCCATGCCCCTTTAATGGAGCCCTGATGGTCTTTAATCAAGGGCATTTAGGGTACATTAGAGGGTAGTTGGGGGGGTCTACAGTAGAAGCCCAAACGTTGGAAGCCCAATAGCCTCAGTCCTTACCAGTACTGTATAGGGAATCCCAGCACTATTTGGCCTAAATCCGGTTTCCAACTTTATGGGATTCACTATAGGGATGCGAGGATGCTCAAGATCTGGCTTGGCAGGCACCCTGACCGCCCTTCAAAAGGGGAGTTTTTGGAAATTTGGGGTACCTTATTTGGGGTCCTTACAATAAGGATCCTACTATTTGGGGTACTATATTAAGGTCCCCTATTTTCGGAAACTCCCATATGCTGTTAAACTTGCCGCTGACCCTAGATCCTGAGGATGGATGCCCTCGCCTTCTTTAAGAATACACTTCCCTCAAAGTATTCTTCTTATTATTCTCATTGACTCTACTACTATTATTATGGTCAGAACCCTAAACAGGGAACGTGTGGATTCAAGGATGTCGAGCCATGAAAAACCCTCACAAAGCCCTCTTCAAACCTTCGGAAGCCTTTTTGAGCCTAAGCCCTGACGGTTCAGGTGTGTTTAGGATTTAGGATGTAGGGTTTTGAGTCATGCTGCACTCTTTTCGGACTCCCTCCTTTCAGCTTCCTTCAACCTCCTGCGTCAATATGATGCTTCTTCAGACGTTCGGCCGCAGCCCGTGTTTTCTAAAAGGGTGTAGGGTCTAATTCAGGACCCCAAACCCTAAACCCTATACCGTGGAGCCCTCCAAGTCTCTTTGATCGCAGGGTCCGACCAGTCACCGGAGGGCCGCAGGGGCAAAGATCGGGGCGCGGTCAGCGCCTCAGGTTTTGCAAAACGGGTAGCGCATGAGTTTTTATGCTTTGAATATCGTCTGAGCCATATAGTAGCAAGAATAAAGCTTTGGGTGCCTCGCATAGGATCCCAACCCCTGCACAAAACAATTAATCTCCAAGCCCTCAGCCTCAACAATCGAAATTTCAATCGCCTTCGTACCCTACGCCTTAAACCTTCGACTCAGACGAGCTGCATGTGTAGTCAACGTGCACCAAGAACCTCGTCTGGCTGTGTCCGAGTTGCCAGGGCGTAAACCGCAAACCAAACTCAAAACCTAAGTTTCCACTTCTCTGACGGTTGAAACTATCCTCGCCTGGTTTTGGGGGCTTATTGCAACGATTATAAACAATACAATATGCCTACATTAAAATCCTAAACTTCCTAGCCCGCTGATCCTGAACCCTCAACCCCTAGACCCAGAAACCCTCAACCAGGCATTCGCCTTGTGGAAGCTGGGCTCGCAGTCGAAGGACCCCGGCCGACGCCCTAACTTTAGGGGTACTATGGGGTACTATGATAAGATCCCCTTTAAAGGGTATTCTAGGGT